GTCTCAGCTTTTAGCCTTCTCAATGTTGTCTGGATCCTTTAATGCACAGATCACTGAAGCATGAGTTCCCCCTCTTGAAATTTTAAACCAGCCTTTGGTTCCTTGAACTAAACGTTTTATGATCCCCAGAGACGTTAATATTTCATCATTCTGAAACTAAACGTTTTCGAGTGTAAAAGCTAATGCCTCATTAGCCGCATGATGCACAGTTGTGTATGAAAAAATGGTGCTTTCTTGGCAGAAGCGTGTGCTCTTATTGCAGTCTTCTTCTTTATTGCTTTAATTCAACACCAACTTGTGAAGGCGAGAGTTGACAAAGGAGGTTGCACAGTAGCATCAAGGCTCGTTGCTCGATGCACAGTTGTGTATGAAAAAATGGTGCTTTCTTGGCAGAAGCGTGTGCTCTTATTGCAGTCTTCTTCTCTATTGCTTTAATTCAAAACCAACTTGTGAAGGCGAGAGTTAGAGAGTTGACAAAGGAGGTTGCACGGTAGCATCAAGGCTCGTTGCTCGAAAGGAAAAAATTGACAATATGTGCGCGCGCGCGCGCGCCCCAGCAGCAGCAACCAACCAACAAAGGGAACCCTTGTTGGAAAAGTGTGTTGGGATATCGATGTCGTTTTTGTAGACTTGTTACAAACAAATGGGGGTTTGGAATTGATCTCTGTGGCATAAAATTGCGACACAAATGTTACAATTTTCCATGTTTTTGTTTTTCTTGAGTGGTAGCTTCTGATTTCTATGCTAGCTTTGTAAATTCTGACATGTTGTTTGTTGTGGACTGAAAATGTTGATATTGATTTATGCTCCAATTTTTCTCTGCGAAACTAATTGCGGAGAAATGAATATTAAATTTCCGGCAAGTTGTGATGTTAACAGTTTAACACACCACTCCAGACTTGATCAGACTAGGTGTTCAAGAATACATTTCATATTGTCCTATACTATATCTATCATACTCGTACATTCCTCCTACTCCTACAAAATCAAGAAGCTCAACAGGGCATAAATGGCAAAAAAGAACATTAAGGAAAAAAGAAAAATAATCTTTCCTCATCTTCCTTTGGGATTTACTATTTATGAAAAAAATTCGCTAGTGTATGGCTCATCATTTCCCTCACGGACTCCAGTCTCCTCAACTCCAGCCATCTCTCTATGAATTGAATAGGTGTCTTTTGTTTCACTGTCTGTGACCAATTTAGCTCCTGCAGGATTGTCTTGCATTTGTAGAGAAAATTCAAGATTCCACAGCACATCACCCATCGAAGGGCGATTGCATCCATGATCAGCCAAACACTTGACTGCTGTCTCGGCGAATTTGTTGTAGCACTCAGGGTCTATGTCTTCCTTCATATGTGGATCAATAATATCCCAAAGAGTTCCCTTCCTTTGGCAATGTAGAGCCCAATCTGCTAGACTAACTTGTTCTTTAGGCAAGCTAGGATTAAGGGCCGGCCTGGCACATAATACTTCAAAAAGGACTACCCCAAAAGAGTAAACATCAGATTTTTCTGTCAATTGTTGCCGACGGAAGTACTCAGGATCCAAGTATCCAAAGCTACCTTTTATTACTGTACTAACATGTGTTTGTTTAAGATCAGGTCCAGTTTTCGACAGGCCAAAATCGGAAACTTTTGCGACCCACTTCTCATCCAAGAGAATATTTGTAGTTTTTACATCCCTGTGAATGATTGTGTGCCTTGCACCGGTGTGGAGATAGTGAAGCCCTTTTGCAGCACCAATACATATCTCCAATCTTTTCTTCCAGGACAAGGCTGGATTGTTGCTCTTGTAGAGATGCTCCCTAAGAGTACCATTTGCCATATAATCATAAAGTAGAACCATTTCCCCTTCCTCCCTCTTCACAGAACCCAATTAAAGAGACTAAATGCTTGTGTCTCAGCTTAGAAAGCATCTCAATCTCGGTCTGAAACTCGTGAACTCCTTGTTCTGAAGAAGGATTTGATCTTTTGATTGCAACTGCTATCCCTTGGTCAATAATGCCTTTGTAAACCTTCCCAAATCCTCCAACTCCTATGACTTGAGATTCCTTGAAGTTCTTGGTAGCATGTTTAATCCCTGGCAACGAAAAATGGTGACATAGGCCTTGTGCAAGGGTTGAAAGATGGCTATTGCAACTGCTTTTACCAGATATTGTTGATCTGCTAGCTGATGTGTGGGAATCTCCATTGAGTGGCAACCAGTTAGCACTACTTCCAGACTGATTTCCATAATCAGTACTCCTCTTTCTGTAGACAAAAATGGAGATAGTGGCTGCTAGTGCTACTCCAGCATTCCCACCAAGAATGCCACCAACCACTGGGACAAAACTGGATATTGATGGTGAAAAACCCTTTTTTGCTTCGGCCTGAAGCATCATCGGTGATGGCACTGGATTTGGGCCAGCCAAATTCCCTCTAGAGTCATTAAGCTTAAAAATCTCCAATCCATTAAGAATCGCATCATAGTATTCTGGCTTAATGGACACACTAGGATGCAATGCCACCTATAATTCATCATCACCACTCCGATCACTAACATAAAAGGCACAATCCTTGTAGATTGGCACTCCTTGAGATCCTGCCCAGCCTATGACGTCACCACCTTCTTGTGCTGTTTGGTTATTGACATAGATATCGAACACTCTCTGGTTGACCTTTGTTTCCTGATATTCACAGGAATGGAACCTAAAAGCGTACGTAAAATTTGCATCGACCTGAAATACCCATGTCAGATTATAATTCTGATTCACTTTCGAATCTGGCCCCATTGTTCTTGCTGTGCTGTAAACATCTGAAGGTGCAATAGAATTTGGTAGATTATCAGTAGGGTATAGAAGGCTGATGTTAGCTTGAGAAGTGACGCCTCCGGCTGCACCAAATAAGTATGGTGTATCAACATGCCATATTCTTGTAAGGCCTGAGTCCTTGTTTGCGGGAATGAACTGTCCACCAACGTTTAACCTAAACATTGTTTGCAAAGTAGAGCTTCCAACATCAACAGTTTGGTCACTGAAACCAACCAGTGCCGCGGGCTGGTAAATAACTGGCATCGGAATCACTTCAATGCCATTAACAAAAGCATATGAATCATTATATTTCGAAGAGGGTGTGAAGGTAAGATTGAGAGTGCCAGAATCAATTGGTATTAGAGAGAATTCCCTGATAATATAGGCAAGCGTAAGGGCCTGTGCCGTAATGGAGGCACTGAAATTGTTAAGGAGGGTGAAACTATTTGCAGTAACAGAGAAATAAGAATTGTTAGGATCAAGAGAGCTATAGGTAGAAGGATAAAATGGAGCCTGACCCAAAGGCGACTCTTTGTAGGAACAGAAAACTTGTATGTAGATTCAGATGTAAATATCCTTGCAGTCATGTAAGGAATCGTGGATGGCAATGAAGGGTCTTGGTTTTCAGCTGTTGATGTTATTGAGTTACCTGACGAATTGATGTGTTTTGCATCAGGTTGCCAATCCCTGCCATCACTATCCGTGCCAGCACCGGAAGCACCACAAGCGAGGATATAAGAATCAGAATCTGATTCTGGTTTAGAGTATTTGCTTGTAACAGAAATTGTGCAGATAGACAAGAAAATCAGAGAAAACAAGATTTGGCGATTGCATTTCATGGCTAAGAAGAAATATATAGCAAAAACAGGGGAGCTAGGAAAATGAAGGAAAATATTCTCTATAGCAAAAACAGGGGAGCTAGGAAAATATTCGCTAGTAGGCAAGAATGAATGGAGATGTGGGCATTTTGGGGTTCAAAACTGATTACTCCATTGATATAAAGTGCGTTTTGTTTCGATTACAGGTTGATTTTTGAAGGTTCACCTGGAATATGCAGGGCAAGAAGCAGAGAGAACAGAGGATTTTCTTCTTTCTTTTTTCTTTCGAAAATGGACGTTACGATAGGAGTGGCAGTTAGAGACTCATGGAGAGAGAGAGAACTATAAACTGCCTTACTGCATTGATTGCCCTTAAAACATGGGTGTTTCTTTAGTTTTGATAGTTTCCCTTCACTTTATATATAACAATTAACAAGACCATGTGCAATCATTTCATTCTTGGTGTTTTCTATAATAACAGTAATGAACTCCTACGCTCCATTCTCCGACAATCTCCTGCATTCAATGAAAGAACCTGATTGTTATGTTTTTTTTGTGAAATGCTATTCATAAAATTTGTAACTCTGTGAAATGCGTCCACAGGCATGCAATTCAGTTGTTTATTTTAGTGCTTTCATTCTTTATGTTTATAAAAATAATTTTATTTACTTCTTTATTAATGTTTGAATATACATTCATGCCATTTATAGTCGCTCGGTATTTTTTAAAAAAATATTTTTAAATATAAAAACAGATTCGTAATTATTTCAATTAATAGTACTAACATCATTTAGATTCATATTAATCGAGTTTAAAAAAATATATGGCTATCCAACAACAATAATCTTATTTCATAAAAAAAAAAACAATAAAAATTAATGGGCAAGAAAATTACAAGCTTTCAATGAAATCCATCAATGAATTTTCACATGAATTTGTATTGAAATTACATTACTCTTGTATCTCACTGGGATTTTTAGTTTATAGATGTTCAAAGTGAAAATATTTATTAAATTTAAAAATATTACCAATCTAAATATTTTTAATAATTTTTTTAATATATGGAACTCAATCTTGTAATAAAGGGATAACTATTTTTGAATCCATGCAGTCTTGAGTTTAGCTTTTAAAAATTTTCATTTTTTTAGTTTTAATTTTTTAAAAAAAATTTAGGTTTTCTTAATATGATAATATTAAAAATAAATTTTAAAGAAATAAAAAATATTTTAATATATTTATAATAAAATACTGAAAAAAAGCTATGCAAGCCCAACATAATAAACCGAAAATAACTGTGGTAGATTTTCCGAGACGAACAGGCCTGCCAACCAGTTTCTCTAGGCAACGAGAGAAGCCCAAAGCCGAAAGACCAGACATACAATAGAAATATCTTTCGCTAACCGCGAAACCCCGTTAGGAAAAAAAAAAGAAAAAGATTGGGCATCTAACGGATAATAACCTATCAACCGCTCTGTGCCTTTTGTCATGGCTTTGTGCTTCTCCATTAATGCCACAACATTACCTCAACATCATCATGGTTGCTTCTGCTACTATTTCTATTTATTTTGCTTTATAATTAATTTGTATAATATAATAATACTCCTAGAGTGTCTTCATTTTTCTGGTTTCAGGGAAAGTGAATTATAGGAGCAACAAAAAATGTCTTGAAAGTGTTAGAAACCTTGTAAAAACAACCGGGGTTGCTTCAGTTGTATCTGCTCCTCAAGAATCACTGCAAAAGGGCAACTGGGTCAAGCTTATCTGCGGTGCTAGCTTTGAGGTATGTGAAAACCCTTAAACCCTATACTCTCATATATTCAAGACACATTTCTAATTGTCAAATTAATGATTTGTTTTCTTATTTTACCTTTATTTTAGGATGTTGTCGATGTCAGAAATCTTTCTCTAGTTTACACTCTAGCTGGAGGTAAAAAGAAAACTCTCGAATCGGTTGCTGTCCGTTTAAGGATTGGTTAGCAAACTTAAGTTCGTGAATGTTAATGTCTACGCCGGTTCTTGATTATATGTGCATGAACGATTCCGCAGTTGACTGCATTGATTGCGCTGCCGATGCATCTATTGTGAATGCTGTAAACGAAGGAATTGAAGCAGCAAGGGAGATTGTTTACCTTCGAAAGCCTTGGGTAATGATTAGTGTTAATGATGATGAAGATCTTCACTTTCGTAAAGCTGGTACGTGTTCCCTTATCTAATTTAGATTAATTTCATGACTTAGAAATTGCAATTAATCGAAAGGATCCTATATGTAACTGATAAGCTGTTGGCATGTTTAGAAATTCCGTACAACGTCATGGGAACATGCAACTGTCGGATGGGATTGAGATTTGTTTTTTGGTCTTATTTAAAATCCATACACTATATTTGTTGATATCATTATGAAGCATCAATGAATGAGTCTCGAGATATTTCACAAACTTTCCTGATGTTCCAAGTCCAAGATGATAGACAGCAGCTTTTCAGTGTGAATGTGTGGCCATTTCTTTTTGACCATGATATTAAAATTCTGTTCGAATGTGAAATTGGCCTTAGATAAAGTGCAATCTTTTTTTTTTTAATCAAAATGTAAGAGATAAAGTGCAATCTTGCCAATCCAAGAGATGGGTAATTAATGACCATGCAAGGGAGCATGGGCTTTGTGCCATCATCTGATTGTGATATGAATTCAGTGTTATTCTTAACAGAGTTTGATCCAGAGGAGTGTCCATTGGACTGTCCAAGGCCCTGTGAAACCATTTGTCCTGCAAGTGCAATATCATTACAGCAACATCAATCAACAACAGAACTTTCCCATGGTACCGAAATGCTCAATGTATTAAAGGTCTTCGAGTGATATATTTTCCAAAGTTTATGAATAGTCACCCCATATTATCACTGCAGTTGGTATATTTGTTTGAAATTGACATTGATATGCAGGGCGGAGTGATAACTGAACGCTGTTATGGCTGTGGTCGTTGCTTTCCGGTTTGCCCATATGATAAAATAAGTGAGTAGTTTTTGTCTGTTGATATGCCACTCTTTTCCAATACTTTGGCCCTCCATTTTTTCAACCCCGTGATAGAGTTCTTCAAAAACTTTTTCCTCAGAAAATCACAAGCTTCTAGTAGTTTCCCTGTCTCATAGCTTGCAGTATGTTCAGTTTAAACTAACATGTGCAAATTGATCTAGGAATGGCTATGTACACAAGGGATGCTGCCGCTACTGCTGAACTTCTTAAAAGGAATGATGTAGATGCCATAGAGATACATACAGGTGGAAGGTACAATTCCAAGACTGATAAACAATATATAAAACAAATCTAAAAGGCTATCCAGAAATCCTTTATATCAAAGCATCTGCTTTCTCCTTCGCTTTTGTATCTTGGTTTTCACATGGCCAATTATACTATTTAAGATTTCGCTTTTGTATCTTGGTTTTCACATGGGCTGTACTGTACAATTATATTATTTTAGGGGGAATATGAATTCACCCTTCGACCCTGTGGAGCAGGATGATTATTTTGCCCTGATGTTCATTCCTCTTTATCTAAGCAGTGACTTTCACATCGTCATCCCTGTCAATTTTTCTTCGTTGTAGGCAGACTGCCTCCTTTGGGGGACTCTGGAATGATTTGGGAAATTCAACTGGATACCTGAAACTAGTAGCAGTGAGTGTACAGCTTATCATTGATGATTGATCTAAATATTTCTGGGCCTATTGTGGATAAAACATCTATCATATGTAACACGAGCTAGCTGGATGTCATACTGAGTTCGGGGTGATTGCATATTAATATTTACTCCCTGCAGGTTAGCTTACCATATGCTGGAGATGCAACTATATCTTCAATGAACACTATCTACACAATGATGGAACCTCATCTTCCTTGCCTCAATTTATGGCAGGTGTGTCCTATGTATTTCCATCTATTAAATATGTTTCAATATTATTATCATAAACCATAAAGAGCCTCTGATAATCCTTATGAACTCTATTGAAGTTGGATGGCCGTCCCATGAGTGGAGATATTGGCCGAGGTGCCACAAGGGAATCGATTGCATTCGCTGCATGTTTGGCTGCTGTGAAAGATAAGCCTCATGGTTTGTGCAGATTCGCTGTGCTGTCATTTTTTGCAACATTT